GATTATATATACATGGTAAAATAGCGTGAGTATTAATGGGTGGTAAAAATTACTTTAAGTACATTTATACTTATAAGATTAAGGTAAAAATTACTTTAAGTACATTTAAAATAATTTATAAACAAAAATTTCTCATTTTTAAATTGACTTTATTCTTAAACTTACCTAAATATGTCCAATGAACATGTGGCCGAGCTTAAAAGGTTTGTCTACTCAATTTTTTTTTCAAATTTTACGGAAAAAAATCTTGAAAAAAAAAAAAATTGTCTCTGTGCAAAATTTCCCTTCAAATACTTCCCATTTTAATTATCGGGACTGTTTCTCCTACCCACTAATTTGACGAGTGTATTTTAACAAATAAATATGACCTTAATTTAATCAAATCCAACGCTGAATTTTTTTCTATTAAAATACTATGAAAATCATAAAACAAAATCCAAACACTCCTTATTACCTTATGAATCCCTAAAATATCTCAATAACCAGCTTGATTCTGTGTCTATCTTATTTCATTCTCCATCCTTTCATGTTCTCTCTAGCACAATTGAATTTCCAAACCACCGCATCATTTCTCAAAGTCCAAATCATGGGTGGATCAAAACAATTTACAAAAACCTGTGATGGAAAACCCATCTTACGAAGGATCGACAAGAACCCAACCTAAGGGCTAAGCCCCCATTTGGTAACAAATTTTCACCCAAAAAAAATAATTTTTTGACTGTTATTTCATTATTTCAACTGTAATATTTGACTTCTTCACTCACAAATAGAATCCAATTTTTTCTCTAATGGACAAAAAATCAATTTTCATAATCACTGCTAAACATGCCCTAAAAGTTCAAGTGTCCAGCAGCATTCCATTTCATGTCAAATTAGTGGTATATTAATATTAAATTACTTATTATTTCCAATTAATTCCGTTCTAAAGCATACGGCGTCGTTTAGTCCAAAATTTTTTTTTCTTTGAACAAATCGGTTTTTTTTTTTAAAAATATGTTTTTTTCAAATATGTTCAATTTCAACTCTGCAAAATTGGCAGAGCATAAACCCTAAACCCTAATGCTAATTCAAAAGCATAACTGCAGAACCACGAATACCCAGATACACATCTTGATTTTCTTCTTTGATATGCTCTTCAATTTGCATAAAATGTTCTCTCTCTCAAGAAAATCAAACCCTAAAACCCTAATCCTCTGGTCCCACCTTCAATTCACAGTCTCAATTTCAAGTCTCAAAGTGGTTTGGCGTAAAGACCGAAGGCTCGACCAAGCTATTCAAAACGACAAGCAATGGCGACTTTGCGCTCGGGTTGTCAGAGAGGTCCTAAACGAACCGGGTCAAGTCATCCCGCTTCGGTACCTCGAGAAACGCCGTGAGAGGCTCCGATTACCCATCAAAATCCAAACTTTCCTGGCCCGAAATCCGGGTTTATTTGAAATCTACATGGATCGGATCAAGCCGAAATCCCATCCGGTTCGTTTCGTCCGTGCTGGTGATAGGCTTAACCAGTTTTTAGAGGAAGAGAAAAGGATTTATAGTGAAAATGAGCCGTTAATTGTTTCGAAACTTTGTAAACTGTTGATGATGGCAAAAAATAGAGTTGTCAGCGCAGATAAATTAGTTGAGGTTAAGAGGGAATTCGGGTTTCCAAATGATCTTTTAGTGAATTTGGTGCCGAAGTACCCCGAATATTTTAGGTTATATGGGACTCCGGGAGAGGGGAAATCGTATCTAGAATTGGTTTCGTGGAATGACAATTTTGGAAAGTCAGTTATTGAGAAGAGGGCAGAGGAGGAGTCGAGGTTGATGGGGATTAGGGTGAGACCTGCGTTTAATTGGAAGCTCCCACCTGGATTTTATATCAAGAAGGAAATGAGGGAGTGGATTAGGGATTGGATGGAGCTTCCATATATCTCGCCTTATGATGATGTATCACATTTGGAGCAGGCATCTCCTGAAATGGAGAAGTGGACGGTTGGGGTTTTCCACGAGTTGCTTTCTCTATCCCTTTATAAGAGGATTCCAGTGCCTGTTTTGGGGAAATTTTGTGAAGAATATAGGTTTTCAAATGCATTCTCAAGCGTATTTACAAGGCATTCTGGGATTTTTTATATGTCGTTGAAGGGTGGCATTCAGACCGCAATGCTGAGGGAAGCATACAAGGGTGAGGAGTTGGTTGATATCGATCCACTTGTTGTGATCAAGGATAAGTTTGTTGAGTTGCTCGATGAGGGACATCAGCAGAGGGTCGAGAAAATCAGGGTTAAAAGGGAAATGGTTTGGAAAGAAATGGAATTCATGTCAGCTAGTAATAAAGAATACAACTATGATAAGCAAAATGCAGAGTTATGAGAAACTGTGGAAAATGACGTTAAGGAATTCAAACACAGTAGTGTTGGAAGTTATGAGGTATCCCAAATGTTTGCTCAGTAATGTTGGAAGCACATCTTGTTGAGGCGAGTAATATTTCTACTGGATCTACTTCGGATTAGCCTTGTGACAAGATGAAGATGTTAAATGGTTTTTGTGACTAGCTTGCTTCCACTTCACAGCAACCGGCAACTGCAAATGCAACTGCAACTGAGAGGGCTCGTGGACTAGTATCCTTTATAGAAAAGCTGCTTTTTGGAACCCGGTCTTTTGGTACATGATAATCTTTCCAAGCAGGTATAAATTTTGGGATATGTCCTGTTTTTCTCTTTTAACAAAATAGGATTGATCTATACATCTTATATAAGAAGTGCAATGTATGTTTTCCGCCTCCCTCAGGTCATCCGTTGAGATAAGTAACTGGTTTTGATCGTTCCTGCGGTGCATACGAGTTTGCTGTATGGATATGCTTGTATTGTAAATGACGGGGCTCTTCTATTTGATCCTGATAACATTCTGATCGATGTTATTATTAAATTGTCTGATGATATTAGAGAATGCTACGTTTAATTTTCGGCATTTTGAGTATATTTTGAATTTTGAGATCTGTAAGTGCTTAAAGCTCTTCATTCTGATCGATGATATTAGAGAATGGTTAATCTATTTTTAGCATTTTGAAGTGTATTTTGAATTCTTATATCTGTAAATGCTTAATACTTAGTACCATTCTTTGATTATTCAAGTTTTGATGATCGGAACTAATACACCATATTCATTGTGTTCTTTCCCATCTTTCTATTAAATATTGTGAATCTTGACAAGAATGATAATGTCTTGGGAGTCATTTTCTTATTGAAATCTTAGTGGATTGTTTGGTAGGGAAGATTGGACGGTAGTACTAGTAGAAAGTATTTAGAAAAAGAGGAATTTAAAATTTTGTCAATTGTTCCACTCAGTCATGTCTAATTTTGTGTAACAAACATGCGCTAGAATTTTTTTTCTTCAAGTTTGGCATTACAATACCTAATCGAGGCTAATACGTTACTGAACATGCATATATCATGCAAATTGAATAATGCATTTTTTTTGTATGAGCTGATCGAATTCATACCAAATTAAGGAACATGTAAAACTGGTGATGAATATATAGCAAATACTAGGTACATAAATAGGGGCAAGGATTATTTTATTGTTTGCTCCATTTAGCTCTTATTTCCGTGCTTACTATCGTAGGTGTAACAGCCATGAATCAGGTCTTCCCCTTTATGTTTGTACTCTTTATGATATTTCTAGGACTGTACCCCGGAACACAGAGCCAACGGGTGCCAACGATCCCAACTTTCCCTCCATTTTGTGCAGCTCAGATTGGAATTGCAAATCATGCGTGCTATATGCTGCCATTCATATCCATCCATCCAACCTCTCATCCATCCCCGACACTTTCTCCTCTATTGCCTCTGTCTCTGACTCTCTCTCCTCCTATACATCCTTCCTCGGACAAATCAGGTGGCGGTGGTCACAACCACGGGCACGATGACGATCACAATCACAACCACGGGCACGATGACGATCACAATCACGATCACGATCATGATCACGATCACGGGCACGGGCACGATGACGATCACGATCACGGTCATAATCACGGGCACGATCACGATCACGGTCATGGGCACGATCACGGTCACGGGCACGATCACGGTCACGGGCATGATCACGATCACGATCACGGTCACGGGCACGGGCACGGGCACGGGCACGGTCACAGGAATGGAGAAATGCATATTAAACGTAAATGTTGCCGATCGTTAAAAGGTGTTGACCCGTTCTGTGTTTGTGGATTGCTGATGCGCTTGCCACCTTTTCTTTCAAGACCTCTACACAATTACACAATCGTGGTTGAAGATTCATGTAATGTGATTTTCCAGTGCGGATCGAGTTGGTTGAAGGTCTAAATGTTATCTGTTACTGTTAAAGAGTAACTTATGATACTATGTTTTAATAAAAGGTGTTTCACTTTGGTAAATTGAGTACATATGTCTATGATGAATCTTCTATGACTAGGGGACTCTGTTATGAAGAATTTATGAATGATTTAACTTATAAATAAATAACAATGAGTGATAGATAGGTGGATAGTACTTGTGGGTTTATTGAAATATATATTTGAAAATAAAATTTGACTGTTCATAAATAATTATAAATTTTGCCAAATGGATTTAAATGTTAAATGAGCCACCAGCAGCATAGTAAGCCCCTTTTTAAGGAGAAGTATGGAAATTCTTTGGACTGTAACATTTGGCTGTAAGTCTTTTTATTTTTGTGTATATTCAGTATAGTCTCGTTTCTCTGAAAAACCATTTTTCACTCAACTGGACCATAAAAATCTATTCAACAAACTCATGTTTGTTTAGAACAAGTATCAACACTTTTCTTGGGAGACATGCGGGCAAAAAAAGACAAAAAAAGAGAGAGAGAGAGAGGGAGGGATGGGGTTCCTCTTGCTTTGGGTATAGTGAAGCCTTTACTTCATTTAGTCAATGTTATTGGTAACTCGTATAGTTCTCATCAGGTCACCAACTTTCTTGACCTTCTGACACTGAAAAGGCATCGCCTAAAATTGTAGAGAAAATTAAATGAAGTACTCCAAAAAGGAATTTGGTATGTTTTTTAATGCTTCATTTAATGCCATATTAACGTCATATAAATTGAGATTACAACTTTAGTGGGGGTTAAATAGCATTATTCTTTCTTTTTGTGTGTGTGTGTTTTGAAGGCGTTGCCAATTAACTATGATCAAGATCTATATTGAAATAAAACTATCTAGTACCAATGTTGCTAGAACATGACAATTGATATATTCAATTAAATGAATTATGTTACATAGCATTCAAGTAAACTTATCATTTAGTCATGCTGTTGCCACCTAAAGTGATATTCGACATCAATGATCTTGAATATCATTATTCTATTTACTATCTTCAGTGAATTGGAAGGATATTAATCGATTCTCCTAGATTTCAAGACTACAAACATTCTTAATACTAACGATAAAATATTAAAATATCTCATTTTCAATTATCATTCTTAGGCTAGGGGAATAAAAATGTAGCATTGAGTTTTCGGTTTTTTCAGAATTTGAGAGAAATCTTCAAAAATTCAAGTTGAGTACAAAGTTTGAGAATCTAATCACAACAAATTAAAGGTTGAAAACTTAATCGCTTATTGCTTTATTTTACATAATAGTAGGGGTTTCTAAGGAGCATCTGGGGTTCGAATTCCCACAACAGTTAGAAAGCTATATTTATGTTGGAAGATAGATGTTCTGTGGAGGCAAAGTTATGGTACGATTTGTCATCTTTTCAGGAATCTTGTCCGTATGTTGTAAAGAGAGATTCACAAAGAGGAGAATCTCATCTCGAATGTTCGGTCTAAGTGTATATAAGTTGTGATTGCATCCGTATTTACCCGAGTGGTGAACTATAGTCGGATGAAGCTCGAATACTAAGTCACCAAAAAAATTTAAAAAAATGAAAAATGTTATACGACCACTTATAGGGTCAATTTCGGGATAGTAGACAAAATGAAAGCCCACGCTATAATACGACGTCGTCAACACTGTCAAAGTTGTAAAGTCTAACCTTGTACCATGCCCTAAAACCCTCGTCTTCCAAGAGACCCAGCGGCTTTGTTACTTTGGACGAAGACGAAAGAACCCTAGCTTCTGGTTTGCAATCTTCACATTGCAAATATGAAACTCGTTAGGTTAGTTGAATTCACTACATTTGGTTGATTGACTGGCCATTTTAATTCGTTTGTAGTAAGCTTATTCTCTCTCTCTCTCTAAGCAGGTTTTTGATGAAATTGAACAATGAGACAGTTTCGATTGAGCTCAAGAACGGTACCGTTGTTCATGGCACTATTACAGGTCCCTCTCTATTTTTATCGCTGTTTATGTGTGTTGGCTTTTCTTGTAGCTATTTTGCTGTCTTAGATTATTGTAACTTAATTGTCAACTGCATTTATCCGAAAATGAGAGAAGTGGCTGTTTGGTTTGGTTGTCATTTCTTATAGATATAGTGGGATGGAGTTTTTGATTATGGACAAAACAGTCAAAATAATCTGCTTTGACGTTAGATCTAGAACTTTGGTTTGCAGTCTAGCTTTTGAGCTTTTGCATTGTCTCCTAAAGTAAAATTCTAGAACGATTACATGGGTCATAGAACAACTATGTGAAAGCAAGTCTGATCCTGGGCGTCCATGAGCAAATGGTCGATATCTTATTTTAATACTGAACTTTTCTGGATAAAAAATTAATAAAAGGATTGGTGAGAAAATACCATTTTTCTTCTTTCCAAGCATGGGTCTTGTCATTAATGTGGTTGAATGTTATATCCCAAGATTATGTGCCTTCACCTTTTTTTTCCTCTGATTTTCCACTTGCTTTACAATATTTTCTTTATAATTTAACTGATGTGACATAATTTATTGTACATCATTTGATACAGTGGTTATAAAATATACTTGCATTATGATATTTCCGCAAGCAAATTTGTAATAGAAGTTTGGCTTCAAATCTGAATGGTTTTCAGCGCTTGCACATAATGTGGTTATACTAAAGCAATAACATCATGTATTCTGTAATTTAACATGCAATACTATGATCTTTGATCTGAAATGATCCAGATAATCGAAAGTACACAAAGAGACAAGAGTGTCAAGCATTATTAGTAGTTGGTGAATTACATGGCTTGTAGTGGGGCGATCAAAACTCATTTACTCATTTACCTTCTCCAGAAGTAATGAACTATTTGAAATTTATTTTCTTTTTCTTCATAGATAATCTTATTTGTTCTCCTACAAACTTCTAAGAGGTGGAATGAATTTATTACCTTAAAATTTGACTCTGCAATTGCAAGTGCTCACGCACAATTATTGGTGCCATCGATTTTAAAACTACTTGAAAGAATGACATTTACCATGTTTTCCACATCAACATTTTGGGCATATTTTTAATACAAAGGATACAAGTGGTCATATGTCGTCCAAGATTTGAGTTCAATATTTAGTAGATCTGTCCTCTTTTCTGCTGAAAACATTAAAGTACCTTTGAGTTGTTCATTGTCATGGTTATTTTTCTCAGTTTCCGATTTTATATGGTCCCACTATGTACAAAACATATTCACTGTATTCAAACTTTGGCTTTAAAGTCAGGTTGTCTTTGCTTATTTATTGCCACCATCAGTTTCGCTAGCATCCCTGAGATTCTGAATTAGTCCAAGTATCCAATACATACCTTTTCATTTCCACTCTGAACAAGAAATTTTTTTCTTCTCTGCCCCTTAATTGTAAGTTAACCATGAAGAGCGATATGCTAAATTGATCCTTCATCCCTGAACTCACTTGTTAAGGAATTCACTAGTTAAATTCTAAGAATAACAGATACATGTGCATTGCACATTTTGTGAGAAAACACTGACACAACAAGTTAGGGACACAATTTAAATATTTTTTATCTTGTTAGTTTATTTTAATATTGTAAAGAAAATAGAATATTGTACTCCTGGTCCTCAATTTGTAGTTGAAGTTGGGGTTAGATGGTAATTTGCATATTTAGAAAAAGGTCTGTTGCTTCAAGTGTTTTCGTGTTGGGCACTTTTGGGCCTAAGATTTATTGTTTGAGGCATAAGTTACTTTTGGGCCTTAGTCTTCTTTTGTCATCTCTTTGTTGTTTTTGTTGCTTCTTGTGCTCTCATTAGAAGTTTTCTAACGTTTTAATAAATAAAAATTGCCACCTTAGCGGTTTTGATTAAAATAAAAAGAAAAGAAAATAGCTAAGCTTAAAATGAATCAACCAAAATCTTGAGGGGTAACTTAGTGGTTAGGCCTTAAGTTTGCTCCCCAATAATCACCAGTTCAAGTCCCCTTAGAGTCACTGAGGTAAGTACCCGGCTATAAATTTTAGGGCTTCGTGGGATTAGTCGAGGAGTGCGTAAACTGACCCAGACACCCATGGTCATCAAAAAATAAAAAATGAACCAACTAATATAGCATTTTTCTTTCTCTTGCTTTATTAGGGCAAGGGGCACATGGAGGAATTAATAGGTAAAATTTTCTGATATTTCAGTGAGTGCTTCCACTTGACAATGGTATTTTTGAAACTTGCTTGAACATGAATAACCCCCTTCAGTATTCTATGTGCACTCTTACGCAAACCAATACGTCCGTTTGTACGTGAACAAATTCTTGGTATAGTTTTCGCCATATTTTATCATATCATAAATATGAGTCAGATATGACTGATGTTATGCAAATTCAGATTATATGAGAGTTCTTTTTAGTTGTTTCCATTGTTCCTGATTGGACTGCCAAACGCAGTACTCATTATAGGAGGGTAAAGCATTCTTCAGTTTATATGATAGTTTTGAAATTGATCAGTAATCTCATATATTATATTCTGGCATTTAATATATTTTTGTTGATATTTCTTAATCGATGCCTAAATCAGAATGATAATGTCCTGTATTAAAACAATTATAACAAGGAGAAACAGATAAAGTCTTAACCAGTTTTTGAGTGAATGTTATTATTTATATCTGAATGAGTGCATCTGTTTTCAAGTCAGTATCCCTAAATGAGTCTTTTAGAACCTGCTGAAATGACTCTATTATTGTTCTGGAGATATTTGCACTGTTTTGGAAGTGCTTTTATTGATAGATAGATTATTTACCATACACATCTTCATATATAATTTAAATGACATATTAAATAATTTTGGCATATTAAAAATCCAAATCAAAATGTAGTGATGCAGGCTATTACTTCCTAGGTAGCTGTATTGTCTTCATTTTTTTATGGGTTTTGATTTCATTTGACCTTATATTGGATGTAGCAGAGGGCTAAACGATGAAATCAAAAATTTCATGTAGCTAACGCCGAGTTAATGAAACTTTATTTTTTTCCCCATAATGTTGATAATTAATTCACATTACTTCAATTATATGCGCTTACACTCTCTTCTCTGATTTTGGTTGGGTCACTTCTTTGACCTTTTTTAGCTGAAATAAAATTGATAAATTTATTACAGGCCTTTTAATTCGTATTTTTTGATTTATCATTCGTTCAAAATATATAGCTGTTTTTTTTTTAACCATTCTAGATGATCTTTTACTTGCTATCTAATCTAACTTATTTTTCTCCTCCTACTCAAAGGACGTGCTTTGGGGCGTGGTCGGGGCCGCGGTCGTGGGCGTGGACGTGGTCGGGGCCGCTAGATATTCTCCAATCACCTCAATTTTCAAGATATCTTGTTATGTAAACACCTGTATTGAAGGGAGAGGCATCGTTATGCTCTTAGCAAGCTGAAACTGAATTAGAGTAAGATCTAGAACCCATTTTGAGGTTTGGTTGAGTATTTTCTACTGATTTTAGCAGCATTCTATTTGATTAGATCTGATTCTCGATGATATCCCCCTTGATCTCATTGAACCTTCTTAACTTTTTCCTTAATATTCAATATTTTTCTATTTCTACCCTACCCAATATACGCCATAGTGTGCTAAAAACGAGACCTTGGGTACTTGTATCTAATTAACATTATGTACAGCAGGAGTAGCTAATATTTTCGTGGATTTTTTCCCATCCCTGCATGGTTTTTAATAGGGATTGTATCCTTGGAAAAAGTACTAAAATCAACGCAGCCACGCAAAGGTCCTGTTTTCTGATGCCGTTTGATTTATTTCTAGACGGATTTAAAGCAACTAATATTGCAATATTACTTGTTAAATTTTAACCACTTTTTTTTCTGAAACAATTTATTGTTCAAAGATGTAAATTTAAAAATCCTGTTCAGACATAAAGCAAACAAATGAATTTTTAGCTTAATCTGTACGTTTTCTTAACCTCTAAGGCTCGATTTCACAAAATTTATAGGGCTGGGCTGAGTTATTTCTGTATTTATTGCACAGACAAAGGCCCCACTTCTTGCGCAAGCAAATAACCTAAAACCCTCCCATTATAAAGGTATAAATCCTCAACATTCCGCAATCACATTTCAATATAAAATTCTCTAATCCAAGAGAATAAGAACATTAGAAATTATGGCCAAGTCGAATTCCTTGAAATCTGCCGCGATCGTGCTCGGAGGCTTGGCTTTCGGATGGCTAGCCATAGAGATGGCTTTGAAGCCGTGGCTCGACAAGGCCCGAGCCGCCATCAACAACTCTGATCCAACTCACGATCCAGATGATGATGACGCCGCCGACAAGTCACCGCCCGAGGTCAGTGCCTCCGATGTTAAGCAAAGTGATTCACACGAGGCTTGATGTAGCAAATAACACTTTTTATTTTTTCTAGAACAATTTCAAATCAATTATGCTCGTTAAACTTTGAAGTGGATTTATGAAAACAAAGTTTTATGGTTAATCCCAAATAATTACTGCTTCTTAGGTATCATAGTGAAGATAAGAATCCAACACTCCTTTTTCCAGCTAATTAATTTGTACAGAGATGATTATGATGATTCGAATAACTATATACTTTACTTCCCGTTCGTGGTTGTCAAATGTGCCGTGTAAAACACTATTTTTTATTTTTAAATGTACCAGTAGGCCCGTCAAGTGGATTGTTTCAGGTATTTTAGCACCCAAATTGGGTTCGAGTATTTCGTAAATAGAATCATTTGTTTTGAAGTAATTACTAAAATCAAACTCGAAATTGAAGTGTTGGTTTGAGTTTCGTTAAAAAATCATGAGTTGACAACACAAATTATTTTCTCAATATTTGGTAGAAATAAAAGAAATAAAATGTCGTCAAATACATATTTTAACACTTTCTTAATCTCCTACAAATATATCACCAAATAGCATCTAATATATATAGCACATAGCATCCATTTTCGACTTTGACTCTGCTTACAGTGCCTCAAGAAGGATTTGTGGATGGATAGTGCGTAAAGTACGATTAGGAGTGACTATAGATGAAAATTATATTATTCAATTATTTGAATGAATAAATCTGTTTTATTAGGGTAATTATTATTTAGGCTTGCGATTTCAGTTCCTAATTTATTTTATTTAATTGAATTCAAGCCTGTGATTCCGATTTGGTTTCGGTTAAGAAGGTTTGGTTTCAGTAAAAATTCCCAACCTTATATAGAAAGGAT